TGTGTCCATTATTTTCTGAGGTGTGTATTACTTTATTAAGCATTGTTTTAACTACTGTTCTTCTCTGTCGGCATTATATCACTGTTATAAGCTCTATGATGGCACTCCAGCTGTCAGTATGCCATCTTCTTGAGGTAATCTTGAAATGATTTCGGGGCTTTAGTGTCCCCGCGGCCCGGTCCTCGACCAGGCCTCCACCCCCAGGAAGCAGCCCCTGACAGCTGACTAACTCCAAGGTACCTATTTACTGCTAGGTAACAGGGGCATAGGGTGAAAGAAACTCTGCCCATTGTTTCTCGCCGGCGCCCGGGATCGAACCCGGGACCACAGGATCACGTGTCCAGCGTGCTGTCCGCTTAGCCGACCGACTCCCATAAGTGAACCTACAAACCGCCGAACCTTAATGTTATGAGTAAATCAAAAGACTGAACGCTTAACTCATGGGATTAGACACGTGTTAATCCCATGAGTTAAGCTTAAGTCTGAAACCTGTCTAAACCCATGAGTTGAGCTTAAGGCCTAACATCTGTCTAATCCCAATGATTTTCCTGCTCCATTTACCTCCATACAAATTGCTTGCAATACCATGAACCTATCATTCGTTGTTCTCAATTCAACATGCAAATTCAATCGAAGTTGAGGGTTGCAGGCAGGAACTTATGTGTCGTGAATGTTGATGTGAACACAGGAGTTAGGCAAGGAACCCATGCAACCCATCTAATATATTGAGGATGATATTCATTAGACATAACAAAACGATTATTATTACTATTATTACGATGCTTTTAATTTCAACAATGCACTTAACTTGTTACGGTGTGCTCAATAGCGTCGGATTCACGATGCAGTGTTGTGATAGGTGTCGCAAAGTTAAACAGTACAGATAAAAAGGAGATATAGAGATTATCGTTTTAATGTAATTAATAAATTAAAGTTACATAAATTAATTGTAAAATACTCTCTCTATATATATATATATATATATATATATATATATATATATATATATATATATATATATATATATATATATATATATATATATGGTTGGTGTCAGAGGCCTATTGAAAATGGTTGTTTGACATATATATATTCATAAATTAACTTTTGTTAGAAGCCCAATTTGTAAGTTAATTTGTCTTGTAAGGTTCGAGATATTATTGATTATGACAGAAATATTGAGATCAAGGATTCTTTCACGATTCTTCTCTATATTTCATGTTTTTCTTCATTTGAGAAGGAAATTTAGAAATTAATTCTCAAAACTTTTTTTCTGATAATTTTAGCCATATTTTTCTGCTTATTATGAATCATAGGATGACTTTTATTAGTAAAATAATATTAAACAGCTCAAACATCAAAGAGAGACGCCTAATAAAAGGAGTAATTATAGATTCCCTAGAGACGGTTAAGGGCAATAAATCTTGTAGTAAAGTAGATCCAATTAACCGTAAAATTAAAATTCTTAAGGAAGCAAAACTCACTAATCGCATTAATTCAAATAAGCACAGACCTTGTGATGCTCAGAGTAGGGATAATGATTCCGCTGAACCACACTTTCAAGAAATCAGGATAATTGAGCATTCTTCTTAAACTTCTAAATCCCTTGGCAGTATAATATCAACAACGTCGACTGATGGACGCCAAGGTAGGAGCTCTGCCAGATTTATATATCCAGAATCATATATATCCAGGTACTATATACATTTTATATAGTACCTTGAGAAAATGTGTGGGTTATTTCCTGAAAAATTGGTTTATATATATATATATATATATATATATATATATATATATATATATATATATATATATATATATATATATATATATATATATATATATATATATATAAGGCACAACTCTCCTAAACACGAGAGTGAAGTATACAACTTTAGAACACTTTCCCACCAGGAGACTCGAACCCTAGCCAGCACAGAAGCCTTTCAGCAACTGGCATAACAGGTACGCCTTAACCCACTCGACCACCTGCTCAGACCCTTAAAAGAGATGGTAATTTCGGAGTATTTATACACTCCAAAGATCAACCACCTCCCAAGAGCACTAGAGCAAGTGAGGGGTCATTTTTACGTTTTTTTCATCAAGTCCCTGTTAATATGGGAGAACACTGTGTCTATGCTTAAGGCACAACTCTCCTAAACACGAGAGTGAAGTATACAACTTTAGAACACTTTCCCACCAGGAGACTCGAACCCTAGCCAGCACAGAAGCCTTCCAGCAACTGGCATAACAGGTACGCCTTAACCCACTCGACCACCTGCTCAGACCCTTAAAAGAGATGGTAATTTCGGAGTATTTATACACTCCAAAGATCAACCACCTCCCAAGAGCACTAGAGCAAGTGAGGGGTCATTTTTACGTTTTTTTCATCAAGTCCCTGTTAATATGGGAGAACACTGTGTCTATGCTTAAGGCACAACTCTCCTAAACACGAGAGTTAAGGGTCTGAGCAGGTGGTCGAGTGGGTTAAGGCGTACCTGTTATGCCAGTTGCTGGAAGGCTTCTGTGCTGGCTAGGGTTCGAGTCTCCTGGTGGGAAAGTGTTCTAAAGTTGTATACTTCACTCTCGTGTTTAGGAGAGTTGTGCCTTAAGCATAGACACAGTGTTCTCCCATATTAACAGGGACTTGATGAAATAAACGTATAAATGACCCCTCACTTGCTCTAGTGCTCTTGGGAGGTGGTGATCTTTGGGGTATATAAATACTCCGAAATTACCATCTCTTTTAGGGGTCTGAGCAGGTGGTGGAGCTGGTTAAGGCGTACCTGTTATGCCAGTTGCTGGAAGGCTTCTGTGCTGGCTAGGGTTCGAGTCTCCTGGTGGGAAAGTGTTCTAAAGTTATATATATATATATATATATATATATATATATATATATATATATATATATATATATATATAAAGTTTGTGAGGGTACCACCTCTGGTGCCAATGTGGGGACCCATAGCCTCGGAGAAGAAAATAAAAAGTATTCAGAGGAGACCTTGTGGTTTCTCACTGAACACTAATATTATCTTCTCCTACCACCCCCATTCTTTTGTATGTACACATATATATTTACTTTATTTGAACTTTGTTACAAAAAAGGAGTTACATATGGGTTACAAAGATGGTTGTCATAGGTTGTCGAGTTCCTCCAGCTCCTCAGATGGCGGGCAGGAACCCTGGATGCAGTGCGCATTTCCCCTCTGTATCGCCACACTGAGGCGCTGGAAAAGAAAGCTTGCAGCTCTCGGGTCCCTTGTTGTTTCAATGAGCCTAGAACCCAGTTCCTTCAAAAAACTGGTAGCACTTTTACCCCAGGCGCCGAGCGTCTCAGAAGCAATGGGGACAAAATTGTAGTGGTGATCCAGTTCTCTATACTTACGGGATTTGGCTGCTTCCCTGTGGGTGGCAGCGCCACCTGGTTGTGCAACACTGAGGTTAATGTAGGTGTTAGCCAGGGTTGATACGCACGTGTAGTCCCATACCAACTGCTTGCCATTCTTCCAGGGGTTCACTGTGATACCATCCGGGCGACCAATAAGAGCATCAGAGTTACGGGGCGTTAGGTAACGGGGCTCTCTTTCAGCTGGGCATCCAGCTGTGGTGAGGCTCCTCTTGATGATGTCGTTGTGTCGTTGATATATATATATATATATATGTCGTTGATATATATATATATATATATATATATATATATATATATATATATATATATATATATATATATATATATATATTTGATATTTAAACGACAACTGTGACCTGGATTTAACCCAACTGAAGCATTCTGGGAAGCACTGACAGTCCATCTTAACGTCACCCCAGAAGTGACTCGAACCCATACTGGTAGAAGCACTATGCAACTGGTGTACAGGAGACCTTAACCACTCGACCATCACGACCGTACAAAAGATGATGGTAGCCGAGGCTATTTGCCCATCATCCCGACGGCACTCGGATCGTAATCTTGGGCATAGTTATTTTATCAAATCACCTTATTTTTGGGGGCCACGCGAGCAACACAAATGCGAACAAGCCTGAATGGTCCCCAGCACATCAGTGATGGAACACATCAGTGCAACAGATCGATAACTTTAAACTACCATATTATTAGTACAAGATTTCAACCCTCCAAAAAGCCATTTCAAAATGGGGAGACAAAGCATTTACTCTAAAATACATTATGGATTGTTGATTGTTGCGTGGATTGTTTTGACAGGAAAAACACATCCACACACACAGGGATAAAATCCTGCTGAAGAGATGCTGAATCTATGCGAAAGACGATAAAACACTACATAAGGGAAGGAAAAAGAAGAGTGTTCGCTTGTGCTACTTCAAAACGAAGAAGGAAAATGTAAACCTTTTAAACCGATGAGAATTTCAAACATATCAATCCACTCTCATGTCAACACAGCACAAACTCTCACCACCAACACAAATCATTTGCAATAATAGCAACAACAACAAGTCATAATATCATTATTGAAACCATTTAATTAAAAAAAAAATATAAATAAACTTTTCAGTTGTAACTTGCCATTCATGTGATTTGAGAAAAGCAATTAATGAAGCATAAAATCAGGGTCATGTAAAGCGCTTCCTATATAATGGTATTTTTCCCTCACTTGAATTTTGATTCGTCATGAGTGCCAATTAAACGAAGTTTTGTTAATGAGTACAGAAATGAAATTCATCCCCGGAAATGTTTACCAGTACTAAAGCTGAGAGATTTTTATCACAGGGCAAATGTTTGTTGATGAGTAAGGCCAGTGAAAATGGCCGGGATATATATATATATATATATATATATATATATATATATATATATATATATATATATATATATATATATATATATATATCCCAGGTATAGGAAGCCCCAGGTGTAGGAAGCCTCAGGTGTAGGAAGCCCCAGGTGTAGGAAGCCCCAGGTGTAGGAAGCCCCAGGTGTAGGAAGCCCCAGGAGCGGGAAGCCCCAGGTGTAGGAAGCCTCAGGTGTAGGAAGCCCCAGGAGCGGGAAGCCCCAGGTGTAGGAAGCCCCAGGTGTAGGAAGCCCCAGGAGCGGGAAACCGCAGGTGTAGGAAGCCCAGGAGCGGGAAGCCCCAGGTGTAGGAAGCCCCAGGAGCGGGAAACCGCAGGTGTAGGAAGCCCAGGAGCGGGAAGCCCCAGGTGTAGGAAGCCCCAGGAGCGGGAAGCCCCAGGTGTAGGAAGCCCCAGGAGCGGGAAGCCCCAGGTGTAGGAAGCCCCAGGAGCGGGAAGCCCCAGGTGTAGGAAGCCCCAGGAGCGGGAAGCCCCAGGTGTAGGAAGCCCCAGGTGTAGGAAGCCCCAGGTGTAGGAAGCCCCAGGAGCGGGAAGCCCCAGGTGTAGGAAGCTCCAGGAGCGGGAAACCGCAGGTGTAGGAAGCCCAGGAACGGGAAGCCCCAGGTGTAGGAAGCCCCAGGAGCGGGAAGCCCCAGGTGTAGGAAGCCCCAGGAGCGGGAAGCCCCAGGTGTAGGAAGCCCCAGGTGTAGGAAGCCCCAGGAGCGGGAAGCCCCAGAAGCGGAAAGCCCCAGGTGTAGGAAGCCCCAGGAGCGGGAAGCCCCAGATGTAGGAAGCCCCAGGTGTAGGAAGCCCCAGGAGCGGGAAGCCCCAGGTGAAGGAAGCCCCAGGAGCGGGAAGCCCCAGGTGTAGGAAGCCCCAGGAGCGGGAAGCCCCAGGTGTAGGAAGCCCCATGAGCGGGAAGCCCCAGGTGAAGGAAGCCCCAGGAGCGGGAAGCCCCAGATGTAGGAAGCCCCAGGAGCGGGAAGCCCCAGGTGTAGGAAGCCCCAGGAGCGGGAAGCCCCAGGTGAAGGAAGCCCCAGGAGCGGGAAGCCCCCAGGAGCGGGAAGCCCCCAGGCGCGGGAAGCCCCAGGAGCGGGAAGCCCAAGGTGTAGGAAGCCCCAGGTGTAGGAAGCTCTAAGAGCGGGAAGCCCCAGGTGTAGGAAGCTCCAGGAGCGGGAAGCCCCAGGTGTAGGAAGCTCCAGGAGCGGGAAGCCCCAGGTGAAGGAAGCCCCAGGTGTAGGAAGCTCCAGGAGCGGGAAGCCCCAGGTGTATGAAGCTCCAGGAGCGGGAAGCCCCAGGTGTAGGAAGCTCCAGGAGCGGGAAGCCCCAGGTGTAGGAAGCTCCAGGAGCGGGAAGCCCCAGATGTAGGAAGCCCCAGGAGCGGGAAGCCCCAGGTGTAGGAAGCCCCAGGTGTAGGAAGCCCCGGGAGCGGGAAGCCCCAGGTGTAGGAAGCCCCAGGTGTAGGAAGCTACAGGAGCGGGAAGCCCCAGGTGTAGGAAGCCCCAGGAGCGGGAAGCCCCAGGAGCAGGAAGCCCCAGGAGCGGGAAGCCCCAGGAGCGGGAAGCCCCAGGAGCGGGAAACCGCAGGTGTAGGAAGCCCAGGAGCGGGAAGCCCCAGGTGTAGGAAGCCCAGGAGCGGGAAGCCCCAGGTATAGGAAGCCCCAGGAGCGGGAAGCCCCAGGTGTAGGAGAAATTATTATTCTGGTGCATGAGAGACAGGACCTGCTACCCTCCCTCCCCACAGAGGCAGAGAGAGAGCAGGCTGTCTTTCACTAACTCCTCTACACTCATCACGGAGTCTCCAGCATGTCTCGACCTCCTCCTGAAGGAACCCTCGATATTCTCAAAGCTCCCTGTGACGCAAGACTGTGACGCAAGACTGTGACGCAAGACTGTGACGCAAGACACTGACGCAATATCAACAAAAAATACCGACGCTTCGATGCGAAACTCAAACATTAGTGTCACTGATGTCTGAGCTATATATATATATATATATATATATATATATATATATATATATATATATATATATATATATATATATATATATATATATATATATATATATATATATATATATATATATATATATATATATATATATATATATATATATATATATATATATATATATATAGTTGTGTGTGTGTGTGTGTGTACTCACCTATTTGTGCTTGGGGGGTTGAGCTTTGGCTGTTTGTGTGTGTGTGTGTGTGTGTGTGTGTGTGTGTGTGTGTGTGTGTGTGTGTGTGTGTGTGTGTGTGTGTGTGTGTGTGTGTGTGTGTGTGATATGTATACTTGCCTAATACAACACTTGGAGAGATGTTATACAACCTCCATAACATTGATGTTATTGAAATTCATTTTGATCAGAAATTCATGTTATTGGCATCTTGCATATGAAACTCTGATCATCCATGTTATTACTGCCTGATATACGTTATGCAATGATGGAATATTTGTATGTGAGACCTGCTCCTTTATTCTTTCCTTCTTGGTTGCTTTCTTGTGCCTGTATTGTTTATTTAGTTACCTCTCATCTCTCCTTTTACTCCCTATTTCTTCCAGCATTCTCTCTTTCTCACATTGATCACACTTCCATCCCCCCCCCCCCTAATATTGATTAAATTTGTACTCCGTCTTTCACACATACGTCATCATGTGTCTATCACACTAGTATGTGTTCAGAACGGCATGTGTCCAGCGCACCAGTATGTGGACTGGAATACTGATTGATTGATGAAGATTAAGCCACCCTAAAGGTGGCACGGGCATGAATAGCCCGTAAGTGGTGGCCATTTTGAGCCATTACCAGTATCAAGAGCCGATACTGGAGATCTGTGGAGGCGCGACTGCACCCTGCGTGACGGGAGATGTCTCCCGTCGAGTACTGGAATACGTGTGGCGCGATGTTCTATACTGCAAGAGGTGTGGAGCAATACTCTGTGTACTGGGAAAGGTGTACCGTGATACCGCGTGATACCCTGTGTACTGGAGGTGTAAAATGGTACTCTTTGTATCAACACGTCTAATTGGGGGATCACGTGACACGTAACGCGATTTTGAACGTTGAGTTTTGATGCTACCGTCAGACAGACTTCTTGAATGGTCCAGACGTATATGCTACCTGACGCACTTATTGTTTGGGTTCACAGGGAACATACAGATTTGTCCGGTTTTCCGGTTCGATCTTCAAACGGGGAGGCGGTGTTCGACTCCATCTTGGCCAAGAGGCCCCGGGAGTTTTGCGGATCTTGGTTAACTCTGGATTCCGGGTGAGGCTTCGAGGCGTTGTGGACGCCCTGTACTCTGCCAGAGGTCACTTGAAGACGTGTTTATGTTTTCCGAGTTGGCTCGAGTTTAGGAGTCGTCACGATTCTGACGTTTAGCCACGACTTTGTTAGCCCAGAGTTCACTGGACGCCTGACGCTTTGTCGTTTAGTTTAGTTTAGGTGTAGACACTCTTACTCCTAGGTTTGTGTGTGTGTGTGCTGGGATCCGGGGTTTACCTTCCGGGGCAACTGCAAGGTGCCACCAAATAATTGTCCTAGAGCGTGTTTATCTGTCGCAAAGCTCTGTTTGTTTTCTCCCGACAGGAGACGGGTGATACAGCCGCCAAGGCTTGTGTTTTACCCTACATGAGAACCTTGGGCACATTTATGCCCTTGTGTCGTCGTGGGCCCTAAACCAACATTAATATCATACCCGCGTACTAGGTAAGACATATTTATATTCAAGAATGATATTCCACCACACGAAACAACATTCACTTGGTTATATGTGACGAAGAGCCATGGACGTGTCGGAAGGGATGAACAGGCTGAATATGTGTAAAAATATGTATTTTAAAAAAAGTATCATCTCACGAATATCTGTTGTGGACCGTTAATTATTTTATTACACCCGAAAATTTACTTAACGATTTCCTCCACGTGAGAAAAGATGAATGATGACCGACCTTAATGCAAAATTTTCCGCCGCATTGTTCCCGACGGTTCCCCAGGAGTGAGGTCCTGCTACGGAAGGGTATTAATAACATCATATATCCGGCTCACACCTACAGTCTACCTGACTCTTTTTTATTATGCTGGTGTTTATATACGACCTCGCCGGTCATCACCGTCCTTCACTTATCCCACACCCAGACGGAGTCTCGATAATCACACACACACGTACATAAATAAACACACATGTCACCTCTCTCGGAGACACACACACATGCGCTACGATATTCACAAACACATGTCTGCTCTCTGAGACACACACATACACACACACGCCACGATATTCACAGATACATACACAAATAAACACACATATCAACTGTCTCAGAGACAGACACACACACACACACCCACATACACACTCACATGTGCACATATTTTATCAGATGAGATGAGGGAACCACCGAACAAAATGAGCAGAAAAGGCAATAGAGCCAGAGGAAGCATAGCCATGGGCGCTGAAGAAATGTATTGCAACATTAAGAAAGCCACTAGATATCAAACTCAAACCCAGGGCAACCTGCAAGATCACTATCAGCATGACCAAGACACACTGCAACTACAGTATAAACGAGAAGACAGATATGATACCCTAAACTACAGGACTTAATCTTTGATTCGTATTCCCTTCAAGGTGAATGATGAGGCCTAGAATAGTACAGTAGTTTATTTTAGGGAGCACAGAGCTTGTCACAAAACACCAGCATGGATCCAGGAAAGAAATTCCTGATTAACTAACTTGTTAACGACATGTGATCCCCGGCTGCAGTGATTAGAGCATGGGGATGGATGGGAAGGGGGTCACTGCTGATCGGACCGTAGTTCAGTACCCGGATAGAGCACGCTTTCCTATTCCTTATCCTTCTGTCTGCTTAAAAAGCCCATCCTTTTCCATGGGTCATACAAGGAGTGAAATAAGCTCCATCGCTCATATGAGGAATTAGAATCAGGATCAAATCTTTCATAATACCGTATTGATATGTGCATACATTTACTCGAAATATGTGTTTGTGTGTATACATGTGCACGAGCGTGTGTGTATGGGTGTATGCATGTGCATGTGCATGTGTGTGTGTGTGTGTGTGTGTGTGTGTGTGTGTGTGTGTGTGTGTGTGCAAGTGAGTGTGTGTGCGTGCGTTAGGTCTTCAAGATGACTCCTTGTGATCAATAGCATTGTCTTAGAATTCAACAGTGTTCCATTAGTAAGTTTAAATGTGATTATAACTTGTCCAACACGAACTTCCACGAGAAAATTGTCTCACGTACCCTAAAATCTGCTCCCATTCTGAAGTGTAATTCAAACTTTAGTTACAATATTTCTTGATAAAAGTGATTTTTCCTGAGCATCGGAAGGATGACCGGATTAACTATAGAGCTTAAGCTTAACCACAAACAGAAAAAAGTTTTACTACAGTACATTAAACAACTTAAATAAATGTTATAGATGTTCAAACGAAGCGAATCAATTTAATATTTGAAAGTATGTCAAATTATCTGAATATTAATGCAGTGGTTGTTTTTGTAGTGATTGACAGCTGTATAGAGGGTTTCAAAGTGTTTTATTTTGTTTGAGAAAACACACTTTAAAGTTCATGTAACTCACAGTGTACTCATGGAAGTGGCGAGTGAAGAACATTATGAATTAAATGAACATCAATAATGATATGAGTGAAAGTACTTAAGAGTTTGTGTGCGTGTGAGTGGGTAAAGTGAGTAGAGTGCGTAGAGTAAAATGAGAAATTATAGTTTATAATATAAAAGTCAGTGAGGGAAGGATATTGGCTGGTGCAATGGAAGTCGTAGTACGTGTGTGTGTGCCTGGGGAGCCCAGAGCTGCAAGTTCGATCCTATTACACAACCCCAATATTTCCTCATAGATACATATTCATGTGATGTCATTGTGCAAAGATGCGTGGTATTGGCAGACTTGAGTAAGGGCTGAAGAGGTCTTGGAGAGCAGTAGAACGCAAAGGTCAATAAACTACAGGATAAACCTATTGGGTACATTATCCAAAAGTAACGTCATTTCAACGCCGAATACAAATCAGCAACGATAACGACGTTCATTCAACGTCGACCCAACGCCACTCCCGGATATTGACCCCCATTAGGTAAAGGAGAGCCCACTGTGGTGCTTTGGATAGGTTGAATGAATCGTAATTTGTTGTTGAAGAGAGTGTATTCCTGTGAATGTGAAACAGGCAAATGAAAAAGGGAAGGATGGAGGTGGATGTACATGGTGAGTAGGGAAGCTGAGAGTGTGTGAGGAAGGGAATGAGAGTACGATGAAGCTTGGATTGAGTGAGTGAGTGAGTGAGTGAGTGAGTGTGTGTGTGTGTACTCACCTAATTGTACTCACCTAATTGTGCTTGCGGGGGTTGAGCTTTGGCTCTTTGGTCCCGCCTCTCAACTGTCAATCAACTGGTGTACAGATTCCTGAGCCTACTGGGCTCTATCATATCTATATTTGAAATATCATATCTATATTTGTGTGTGTGTGTGTGTGTGTGTGTGTGTGTGTGTGTGTGTGTGTGTGTGTGTATGGACAATACACTTGATATGTTAACAAGTGGATGGGATAAATGAGTTTGGACATAATATATACATTCCAGTTGACGGGGAAGCACAGTAAACCTGGTCCTATTAGACAGTGGTTGCTGTAGATGCCCACTGGAGTGTGGTAGTGTTAGTTAATCAATGGTG